CGCACCCCTCTCCGCGGGGTACCCGGCCCTGCCGCACACCACGTAAGCTTTATCAGACAAGCGGCAGTGTTAAAAGTAAACCTACGGCGGTAGAGACGTAAGCTATAAGCAAGAAAATGAGTTTGCAAAGATGCCAAGAAAATGTACCTCAAAATGGAGTTACAACTCACACAGTTGAGAGCAATGATTGCGTGTAAATAGGAATAAAGAACTGGACGCAATAAAGTGTCTGGCACCTTTAAAAATTAGGACAATAAACTTAAAAAAAATACAAAATGGGCCTATTTTCAGATTACTTTGGTGTTTCTAAAACTGCATCTTAAACAGACTCGGTAGTCACGTTGCTGAAGAAGATAAGCTTCAGGACGGACGAAGCACCACCACCACTGGTAGAACTACATTCTTTTTTACCATGGCAATCTTCATTATAGGCCTACGTTCAGAATCAAGCTGTCCACCTACCTCTTAAAACTCTCCCGTCCTGGGCTTTAAATTAACTTTAAGACCAAAGTTAAATTTCAACCATCAACTAGGTCATCCTTAGTACATAATTGATTTGTCTTTGCAAGCCTTTACGCAGCAGGCTTGAAAGGCTCCATAATCAAGGAAGTACTTTAACCTTTGGTATCTCTGACTTTAAATATAACCTCACCACTAACACCAGTCTCAGCTCAGGATATGATAATATATGTGTGTGAGGGTTATCTTATTTGCTCACTCCTAGTCCTCTATGTATTAAAGAACGTAGCAATAAACCAGCCTAATCCACAACCTAAGCAGAGATAGACAGACATAGCGTACAGAGTATCGTGTGTAAATGAAAACAAGTCATGCCATAGATCTCCTTCAGCTCAGTATTCCATAGCAGTACTGACCATATAAAACTAACAGAAATTTAAAATGCTAAAAATCCTATTGTTAGATTCTTGAGTACAACTGGGAAAAATCTGCTTAGTACGGCCATATTTGCAAGAGTTCCTGGGTGCAAACTGCTTTTCTAAAAAGGTTTATTAAAAAAAAAAAATTAAAAATGGTATCGGGAACCAGGTGCTAACCTCAATTTTAAATTGCTCCCTGAGATGTAGCTTTAAATGCAACTGGTTTTAAATTATGGAAAACCTCATATGAAAAATGGCATAAAACTTGCATTGGAACAACTGAAATCTCATAGAAAAATAGCTTCAATCTTAAAAAAACCCAACAAAACACAGTCTACTGAGTTTTGTAGTTTCTTTTTAAAGGTTTTATTTTCTCCTAGAACCACAGATACATAGCTTATATTTTGCAGAAAAAACAGGAGTTAACTACCTCCAATAACCTGAAATCAAGACTTGTGGGCAGACCCCTGAAACAGAGAACATCTTTTGCTTAGCACAGCATTTTTTAAATACACAGCAAGGATACGATTTACAGGAATAAAATGTGAATAGGTTGACATAATAACACGTGCAATTTCTTTTCCCTTTTCAACTTTCAGCTCTCAACAAAGTTTTTTCTTCAACTTTCATTCACCCTACCATAAAGATAATAATCTAGACTGAATCTGTCTATTGTACAAGGCTGTCAATAAGCTATGCCCAAGTTAAAAAAAAAGTCTCAACACGAAAAAAAAAGGCTATTTGATTGTAATGCCTTTCTATACAATCTTTACTAGAAGTACAGTAAAATAAATGAAGACTTCTAGCTAGATTTCTGTGAGATTTGTGTTGGCCTGATAGGCAGAACTAACACTACGGAAGAAGAATAATCTCTGCTGCTAGTAAATTCAGAGCATTTGCTGCATTTTGTGGACCAGTTTGATCTCCTATGCCAGCCTCAGTTACCCACCAGGAAAAACCTCTGTGCAGGAACGCTACACGGGGAACCTTACAGGGGATATGCTGACTGGAAAAGAAGTTTTGACAGCAGGGGAGAAAGAGGAAAGGGAGGGAAAAAAGCCCACCGGTGGCATGGCTGCTACTCGAGGAAGCAACCGAGCGTGCTCGCTTCAGCTCTGGACATCCAGCTTCCCCCATCAAGCTACCGGTCTTTTTCTGCTAACGGGGATTTCCAGGCTGCCGGAGGTCCCCGCTCTCCGCCCGGAGCAGGCACTCATGCCGTTCCCCTGACAGGCAGTGGCCTGCTCGCGGCCTCGAAACTGGACGTCGCAGAAACGCGCCCCGGT